TAATATAAAATTGGCACTTGGTTGCTTCCTGTTAATGACACCAGGATGTGCTCATGAAGTGGGAGAGATTACTGTCACTGATAATACTGTACTACAAATGTGTGACTACAAATCATGGCAACTTACTAACTTGCCATTGTCACTTATTTCCTTCACAGTGATGCGGTTGACAAAACCAACGCTCTTCACAAACTTGCCAGTGACGTGTGAGGATCGAGATCTGCCAGGTGAGAGATAGCATGGTAGCAAACACAAAGGAAATGTAAGGCTTTGAGAATAGCCATGAAATCATATAAAGATACGACCACAACATCTACAGAGTTACGCTATCTAAAGAAATGAAATAGCCAGTGAGTCATTATGAGATGCAGCATTACGCTCCTGAGACTTTGTTGTGAACGCATCTGAGTGTAGAATGTGTGAAAGACAGACTCCGGAGAAACTTTGGAGTGTGAACATCCTTTGAAGTTCATGTCTGTAAACGGCTTATGTTTCTGTCGACGTTTGAGAATGTATTTGGTTTATGATGGCAAACCAGTTTCCCCCCTCAGGATCATTAAAGTTAATCCTATCCCTATTCCTGTCCTGCCCTGTCTTTAAAATATTATTGAAGGGGTCTTCAGAGAATGCTGTAAAAGTTTTTTTTAAAGCTCATGAAATATTATGTTAAACACAGTGTGTACACAAGCATGTTAAAGCAAAACAGACATTAAATTTTAGTCTATTCCATGTACGTTTTGTATTTCATTACTTGTAGAATTTGCTTTAGACCTTGTGTACATCTGCAATATAGATTCTTATAGATGGAGTATTTGTATTTGACTCTGGTGGAGCACAGCACAGAGCAATGTGGTCTCTGCACCGTTAACTGAGCTCCACATGAACCATCACTCAAACTGTCACTTCCAGGTAGGATTGCTATTTATATTAGTTGAGATCAGTTCCTTGAAGAGCATAAAGATAAATTGGTTGAATTGGACATTAGAATCATAAAGTCCTAGTTCTTGTCATGTTAAACTCCTGCATCAATTACAGACTCACTCATGTTGATGTTATTGTTGTTATTAATATAAGAGCTTCATCTAGTCTTAATGGTGTCATCATAGTATTATTATTAGTGTTATTAGTATGAGTCAGTGAAATGGTTCAAAGCATTTGGTGTCAACCTGTTGAACTGAACCCAATAAAAGCACTTCTGCTGTGGAACCTGATCTTTTAACGTCTTTCCTCCGTCTCTTTGATCCACCCAGCAGGATGCAAAACACTTTCACTTAATTTACCCTGTGAAAAAAACAAGTGTACATCGCATTCATATATCCTCAGAGTCTGCAGGCTGGGCAAAATGTTTAGACGTACTTGTGCTGAATTTGATTGTGTCATTTAAAGGGAGAAATTCAATTGTCGTAGTTAAGAACTTGACAAAAGCCGTTAGTGTTATTTAAATGCACACTGATATTTTTAATGTTGTAGTTGATGCATGCAGAGTTATTGTGAGGTGGGAAGGGAATGTAAGAGTTGAAGGTGTAAGGTTATGTAATGTGTTGGTACTACATTTACAGTCTATAATCAGGGAAAACAAGCAATTCAATTTTATTTGTATAGTGCAAAATCACAATAAACATTATCTCAAGGTGCTTTAGATGGTAAAGATCGGGACCATACAATTCTAAAATAACCGTACGTGTCAGGAACAGGGTAACGCAAACTCAGTGCGGCGTACATCAGGTGCATTTTGGGTCGGGTTCAGACCGAAAACCCAGAAAGCCTCTCAGGTTCGGGCCGGGCTCAGTTAGTTTTCTCTCAGGCCCGGACAGATTCCAAAGTAAGAATGCGACCTCAGCCGCACTAGTTGGGATGCACAGATTGAACTTTGTCAGATTGATAATAACTCATATTCAGATTCAATCCCTCTTCTTTATGTGTAAAATCTCTAAACATCACAGAGTGAAAGGGATTTTTATGTGAAGTAACATGAGGCTATGAACTGCTGTGGCATCTTCATGTCATGGCCTCCAACCCATCAGCTTCAGAGGTCAGGTATGTCTTGTCCCCTGGAGTTTTGCAAAATCGTCTAGATTTTTAGAATTGTAATTAAAGACAGAAAACGTGTATGGACACTGTCTGTTGGTTAAATCTGTGATGCAGGTGTTTTCCTCTGGTTCAGACGTTATTGACTGTGACATCTTTCCATCAACTGCTCTTGGTAGAGTGAGATGTCTGACATGTTACAAACTTGACACATGCTGAATATTTTTTTTCTCTACAGGAGATTTGTTCGGTCAGCTTATGAGAGAGGACCCCTCCACCATCAAAGGAGCAGAGACGTTAATGCTCGGAGAGATGCTCACATTACCACAGAACTTTGGGTAATTCAAAAATGTGAAGTTCTTTTCTTTTTTTCTGATTGTGATTTGACTTTAACACATCTTTGCATTACACAGAAATATTTTCCTCGGTGAGACTTTCTCCAGTTACATCAGTGTGCACAATGACAGCAACCAAGTTGTGAAGGACATTCTTGTGAAGGTAGTGTTAAAAAATAACATGGGTTATACACTTTTCACCTCTTTTACACGTTATTGTCATGTGATGCAACATGCGATGTCATATGATCATTCACAGGCCGACCTACAGACCAGCTCACAGAGACTCAACCTCTCTGCGTCAAACTCTGCCGTAGCCGAGCTCAAACCTGAATGCTGCATCGATGATGTCATCCATCACGAAGTCAAAGAAATCGGAACACACATGTGAGTGTAATATTTATTATTTCAACCCTTTTCCAAAACTGTCATCCGAGCAAATGTTAGGCTAAATTCTAGTTCTAGTTCATGTTACCATTTGTCTTATGTAAGTTAACACAGGATCAACGGTACAGGGAATGTTGGATAAAGAAACAAATCATAGAGCTCAATATAAATCACATCATAATTCTGTATTATCAATATATATTGTATATAGGAACGCTGTTATTGAAGCTTCATATGGATTCAACTCTGGACATTGAGACTGTGGGAGACTCTTTCCTGTTCTTTGGCTCAACACGTCCTCTCGTGAATCTTGCGGAGGATCTCCTGCTGTATTCTTACACGGGCTCATTTGGAAATCTGTCGTTTTTACCTGGGGGCTGGCTGGAGTAACTGTGGAGAGAGTTCTTAGCTTCTCTCTGGGATAATTGTGTTCTTTCGTACAGCCCCTCTGGTGACTGTTTGGAGATTACCCAGATTTATTATCAGTGTATGTCTAAAACCAGCTTTAGTTGTGTATGTTGCTATTCTAATCGTTTATTTCCTTTGTCTCAATGTCCAGCTTAGTCTGTGCAGT